AACATGGTTAAACATTCTGTCCTAGTCAGCAGTATTTAGCATGCCTCCTTGTAGACCTGAAGCTTCATGTGCAAGAAGTGGAGGTTTGAAGGAGAACATACCACATCATAAGGCAACATTGTCCATTGTTTGACAATTGTTAGGACATTTTTCTAATATATATCTAACCTGCATCTACCTGTTTGTATTTTCAACTTACTGGTTCTGGTCTTGCCCTCTGGGGCAACTGAACAAGTGTACTCCCTCATCTGTATAATGTCCTTTTTAGATATCTAAAGACTGCTATCATGCTTTCTTTCCTTTTCCAGGCTAACACTGGAAGTTTTTAAGAAGAGACTGGACAGCCATTTGTCTGAAATGGTGTAGGGTTTCCTGCCTGAGCAGGGGGTTGGACTCGATGACCTCCAAGGTCCCTTCCAACTNTTATTATTATTATTATTATTATTATTATTATTATTATTATTATTATTATTATTATTATTATTATTATTATTATTATTGTTACCATACTTTAACCTTTTCTCTTAGAACTTAGTTTTCAGTTCCCTCACCTTGTTTGTAGCCTGCACCCATTTAAACTGTGGTAGGCAGCAGCTGGCCTTTTAAATAACAAACCAAATTTATGTTTCTGGGGATAGTTTTTAAACATTTTTATCTCTTTTAACTTTTTGTGGAACCTTATCTTTTGGCACCTCTAATAAAGTTGATTTTTGTTTCAGTACTGGAGTTGCCTGGTGGTGCCTTCTAGCACCTGGCTCAGCTTAGCTAAGTTATAGACTCCCAAAGTTTTATTTGGTTTCCCCATACCATAGTTCAGCCAGACCCAGGATAGGGTAAGGATTTCCCCTATAGCAGGGGTGTCAAACTGCCAGCCCGTGGGCCAGACGCGTCACGTGGAAGTCGCGCCCACCCCATTGCCGGCAATGGCAAAACCGGCCCGATACATTGGGTGACATCACGTGACTTCGCGAGTTTGACATGCCTGCCCTATAGTCTTACCCTGGTGGGAAGGGCAAAACTGGCTATAATAAAGGGGTGGGTGGCAGCAGCAAAGGTACCTAATTTTCTAGCTGCTGTTGGCCTCTCAGAACAAGGGGCCTGAATGGAATAGCTGGATCAATCCTGAGAACACCTTCAGTGTTACATGAATAGAGTGGGACAGTTACTTGCTGTGATCCTGAATCTGTGCTTCTGTTAATACATCTCAAAACAACATTTAGCTTTTTGACAGCTGCGTCACATTGTTTGCTCTTATTCAGCTTGTGACCTAAAATGAAATCATTCTCATATGAACTACTGACAAGCCAGGTCTCCCCCATCCAATACTTCCTATTAAAGTTCTTGTTTGTTTTAGCCTCTCTCCAAGCCTGTATTTTATAATCATTCCCACAGCCATTAATCTACATGATTGATAAACATGGTGAACAACATTGGGTTCAGGATAGATTTGATGCTACTCTCCCGCAAGCTATGGGACCATTTATTAGTCTTCTGTAGCAATGGACATTCATCCAATTATGAATCCATCTAACAGTTGTATCATCTGGTTCATGTTTTTATGAATAAAGTTATCATGAGAGACTTTATCAAATGCTTTGCTAAGATCAAAGATCATTATGTTCATGGCATGCCCCATGGATCTATTAAGCTTATAGTAATTATAGTGTTTTAAATACTATATAATCACACTATAGTAATTATCTTTGTGTTCTTTATGTACAACTATATTTCTCTCTCTCCCTCTCCCTGTCTCTCTGTCCTGGTGCGTTTTCCTCTTAGCGTATTATTTGAGTTTCATCATTGGTAGTCTTTATATCTCGCTTAGCTTGGTTGAACTTCAGGAAGTATAAATTTTCATGTTTCAAATTTTCAAAAAAATATATTAAATGTGAGTGGCTTAGTATGTTTCTAGCTGGTGGTCATATCTGATAAATGATTCTTTCCTTTTGATTTGCTTATGTTTCTAGATCTATTGTTTCCTATTGGGTATTTGCAAACAGGGTTTGAGAAGACTCATTGTGAACCAGTTTCTGAAACTGTTTAGAGCAAAGGTTTTCTGTTACTATTAATTATAATTCATGTAATAACATGGATAGGACACTTAACCACACCTATGAGTTTACATAGAATTTTCAGATTGTGCATACACTGGAATGCACATTGTCAACTTTGTGTACTTCCTTATTCTTGCTATTGGCTGAGATGAATTAAAATATGTATTCATTTTATTTGTAAAGAATTTATCTTGCTACAAATTTCCCTTCAGATTGAACCCTTCACTGTGATTATATGATAGAAAGGCTAGTTCAAATCTTCAACTTGTCAGATGCCAAAAACAGTATATAAAATAGCCCAATACAATTTGAGGCAACCAATCCCATTTGTGATGCTACAATTCTAAGCTGTTACTGAATCAGAAGCTATCAATACTGTAATGTTTGATTAAATTTATTCTTTATACCAGTAGTTCGTTAAGTGTGATCTGAAATTATATCCAATAATAAAGATAGAATAGTCCAGTGGTGGTGAACCTATGGCACAGGTGCCAGAAGCAGCACTCGAAGCCCTCTCTGTGGGCACATGTGCCGTTGCCCCAGCCTCGCCTCCCCCCGCGACCCCCTCCTCTCCAGCAGCCCCCCCTGAAGGAGAGTCGCCCCTGAGCGTGGCCCACGCGGAGCAGCGCAGCCAAGGATATGGCAGCCAGGCAGCATAGACAAGACTCCGCCCTCACACCCCATCATGCACAGTTGATGCTGCAGGGCGCAGGCAGAGGACGTGACCGCCATAGCGCTGCTGGGCTGCCTGGGTGATCTGTGGCGGGCCCTGGAGGCGGTGAGTGGCCCTGCGGGCAGGTTGGGTGGGGGATGGGGCAGGGGGCGGGGCAGGGGGTGGAGCGGGGGCGGGGCCAATTTTTCGGCACTCGGTCTCTAAAAGGTTCACCATCACTGGAATAGTCCATAGCTAAATAGAGCTTCATGATTAAAGGCTTTTTACAGTACCTTTGATTGTTATATTAATGTTTTGCTTCTGAATTTTGTAGGATCATTTGGTGCTGTTTCAAAGCTAACACATTTTCAAACATTTTATTAAATAAATGATGGTAGCTGAGGTCACAAGAGTCATCAGATAAGGGTACTATAAATTCTCATACATGTATCTACTGTAAAAATGTCCTCAAGTAACTGCTTACCTCTGGATATTGAAGTATACTAAGAATTAGAGATGAATTTGTCATTAAAATATCTTCAAATTCTATAGGTTGCCAAATTATTATAACTTTATTTCTCAATCCTAAAGTGGCAAAATAGTGGCTATTACCTTGTGCTTTGTACTATTATTACCTTTTATGCTTTGTACTACCAAAGGAAAGATGGGATAGAAATCTCAACAAATAAAGTATTATTTTAGGAGACATTACCTGAAGAGGTAATGATGTGTTTTCTGAATGCAATAGTCTCAGTTCATTGACAAGCAAGAGATTGGTACTGGGAAGAGCATTCATAAACCTGAGACTTAAAATACTTGCGAAGGTAGCCTTAAAAACATGCAGAGGATGCTTAAAAGAAATTCCGGTAGCTCAAGGAAAGCTAATTATTCTCCAAACCCAGCAAAAATGACATAAAGCAGTTAGGTAAAATAACCAAAGAAAGCAAAATCAGTATCTGCCTAATTGCATACAAGTTGAAGAAACAGAATTGGTTTTTATGCAACGTATAATTCTGGTCATATGAATTACAGAACTATCGAATGGCAGGGAACTGTACGTTTTTAATGTAGAAATGGCAGTCCCTAACCTTTAAAGCAAGGATAGGGGACCATGGCCCTTTTATGACTTGTGGGCTTCAACTCCCAGAATTGCTGAGCCAGCTATGCTGGCTCAGAAATTCTGGAAGTTGAAGTCTACATGTCATAAAAGGGCCATGGTTCCTCACCCTTGTTTTAAAGCCATGGGTAATAATCTGTGAGTTGCATATTGGTAGCAGTTTTCAGTTGCTGTTAACATTTATTGATACATCTTCTTTATTGTCTTCTAACTTCTGGTCTGTTTCTGTCCACAACTTTGAGAAGTCTTTCTCCCCCAATTTGCTGCTCGTATCCTTAGTTTGTTTCTTGCTGCTGACCTTGGTGACTTCTGTTGTCACCCACATTTTGCTTTCTGTGCTGTCTGGCAATGAGCTGCTGCATTTATTTGCCACTCATAATCACATTGCCCCAAATTTACTGCTTCTAAGATTTGCTCGTGTTAATAATAGGGAGAAAAAAAGGGAGATTTCCACTTCCTTTGTACATAAAAGGATGTGGCAGCTGCTACTATGCAGATTATCTTTTTTTCTTGCCTTTTAAATTGGAAACCTTAGCATCTACCAGCGCATAATCTGGCTTCCACACTCGGAGCACTCTATGATTATTGTGCCTTTCAGTCTGAGTGCAGTGATTAATTCAAAAAAGGTTTCCCACCCATGCATTACAGTGAAACCCAACCTAACCTGGAAAAACTATTTTCAAAATTGTATTTTTAAATTTTAGAATGTTGCCACAGAAGTCATCATATGGAGACCTCACTAGCTATTTATTTTTAACTTTCTGTTTTTAAATTAACAACTAATATGCAATCTTTATCAGTGATCTGATCTGGATGTTCATGTGATCCTTTACAAATGTCTTGGACAAAATCGTTCAACAGTTTTTTAATAGATAAGCTTTTCCTAAGCTAAAGCACTCCAGATTCTCTGGAACTTCAAATTTCATTGCCGTTCTGAAAATTATATCCTCGGTACAGTATACATGGCAGAGTATCCTAAGGAGATTGCAGTTGATATCAACAAGAAAATCGATTATTGGAATTTGTTCTTTGCAATTCAGATATTATTTTACCTGTGTTAAACCTTTTAATTTGTATCTTAGGTTTTTTTTAAAAATGAACATTAAATGTGATTTTAAAGGTTATGAACATCTGTGATTTCCAGTAAATGAACTAGAACTTATCTTTTTTGCTTTAGGCTTTCAGATAAACTTCTGTGAAAAAGCACAAAGTAAGCTACATGTTTTATAGTATTCTGCTATTTTAATTTATTTTTAAATCATTCTTGGTATTGGGAATGTGTCCACTGTTGATCTAACTAACAGGCCATGCATTAATACAATGGCAGGGCTTCCATTTTTCATTTTCCAAATTGAGATTCTATTTTGTAAATCTTTAATTAATGTTATTTATCTTGGATAATAAGGATAATTGTTCCCACAATAAATAGCGTAAAATCAGTTTTTGTCTTTTGAAAAATAAAAAATGTATTTGAATTCTGTGTAATATAAAAATACTTATTTTCACATGATGTCTAGATATAAGTATTTAAGGAAACCAATAGGGATCTGATATTCAGTAAATTAGCCCCTCCCCCCTTCAGATATCAAGCTACATAAGTATTTGGTTAGATTATCAGTTTAAGAATGACCAGGATATTGACCTGCAAGTCACCAGCATATCATAAGATGCAATTTCTCACTGCTGCTACATGAGATTCTTTGATTGGAAATGTTGGCACAAAGCTTGGATTTTAAACATCTAAAGAATATGTGCTATACTTTTAAGTCATAACTCTCTTTTCTTAGTTACCTTAAACTTTTTAAAGTAAAAAATTGCTGAAAAAGACAGTGAAAAGTTGTTGCAGAGATGGTGAAAACAAGCACGTTCAAGCTTTCCTTACCATATTCACCTATCATTTGTAGAGGACAATTTCCCCTGTTTATAAAAAACTTTTCACTTGATGGAAGTTGTTGTATTCCAAGAGCCTATGTTTGAGAGAGAGCAGGATTTAGAGAGTGTACAGAGAGCAGGATGAAAGGATCTACCATGCTCATTTGTACTATTCTTTAATATGAATATTTTAAAAAATGTGTGAAGATGAGAAAAATTTATCATTTACATTGCTTTTTATCTACCTCAGAATGATGTGGAAACATGACTGAATGTATGCCAGGAGTCTGAAATGTCTATGAAGATTAGACATTTTAATCAGTCCTTGTCAGATTGCATTTGGATGATTAATGGAAGCTCTGTACAATTTTGTTTTCATTTTTTTCATCCTCTTAATGGCTTTCATTTTTAATTGCTATGTACATTATATCTTTATAATTGCCTGCCATGATGTAGTGGGAGCTCTGTTGAAGAACACATTTTTTTTTCTTCATTGGGTAAACTTACTTAAACATATTCATTCTGCATTTAATTTATATGTTTTTTTAAAGATAATAAATATGCCTATTTAAATTAGAAGTGATTAATGCTTCTGCCATAATTGTGGATGTTCAGTAATTTGTGACAGAATTTTATCTCTGAGATTTCTGAAGAGGATCTTTCGTTGGAAGATTATAGGCAAGAAGTACAAAGACTAAAACATCTTTAAACCAATAAGTTAGATTACTACTCATGATCATACTAGGCTTCCTATAGCTAATCAGTTTGAGATGCAGGATATGGAAAAGATGCTGCTACAGAACAAAGTAGAAACACTCAAGTAAAGTGTTAAGAGAATTTGCATAGTTTGCAAATTTGCATAGAATTTGCATAGAATTTGGAGAGGTCTTATGTTGTTTTCTGTTTCAGTAAGACAACCATTGTTCTATGGAATGCTGTTTTCCTCTTGTCCTTCTTGCAGACTGTGATGTCTACATGGATAACAAACTTGAATTCTTAGACAAGTTATGTGGAAAACATAACTGATGTAGCTGGTAATTGTTTGAATATTTCTTTAAAGTAAATAGGAACCACATAGTCCAAGATCAAGACTTGATCCCATGGTATGGGCAATTTTTGACCTATTGCTTGTGCTACAATCTCTGTTTAGAGATTGTAAATGAACAAAAGGACTTGGGCACAATTTGTTTTGAGAGGGGCCTCCCACTTGGTACAAGTAGCAGCTGTAGACTCCAGGTTGAGTTAAAAACAAAAATAAATATTTAAAGACACATTTCCTCTGTTACACCTGATGTGAACTCTTCTGCCCTTCCCTATTTCTGATTATTATCTATGTTAGAAACATTGAATTTTAGCATTAAGTTGTGGCTCCTTCCACTAAGTTGTTAGTATAAAATAAGACTTTCAGTTGCAATTTCTTTATATTCTGTTCTATATTGACATAATGTTTAATTGTATATCACCATAGGTTTATTCCCACAGTTGCCAATCTGAATCATATAGATATCCTGTTCTTAGGAGTAAAGCATTGAAAATGGAGTTAACATTAGCATTATTGTTCACCAGAAGGAATTAATGAGAACTAAATAATTTGAATTATTAAATTATATTTGGGAATATAATCTACATAACAACAGCTTGCATAGTTAAAAAAGCTCATCAATTCTGTATGATTTGTCTGGCAATGAGGTAGTGTTTTGTGGGTATTTTACAACTTTTTGCAGTTTTTATGTGCAATTCTGTTTATGCAATAATATATTTTGTAGCGTATGGAATAAATGTACTATTTAGAAATTTGGCTAAATCAATTAAATAGAACATCATTCCGAATAGAATAGAATAAGAGTAAGAATAAGAATTGAGCTGGAAGGGACCTTGGAGATCTTCTAGTCCAGCCCCCTACTCAAGTAGGAGAACCTATACCATCTCAGACAAGTGACTATCTAGCCTCTTTTTAAAAATCTCCAGTGATGGAGCGCCCACGATTTCTGGATGCAAGCAGTTCCACTGGTTAATTGTCCTCACTGTCAGGAAGTTTCTCCTTAATTCGAGGTTGCTTCTCTCTTTTATCAGTTTCCAACCATTGTTTCTCGTCTTGCCCTCTGGTGCTTTGGAGAATAACGTGACCCCCTCTTCTTTGTGGCAGCCCCTCAAATACTGGAATACTGCTATCATGTCTCCCCTATTTCTTCTTTTCTTTAGACTAGCCAAGCCCAAGTCCCAAAGCTGTTCTTTGTATGTTTTAGTCTCCAGGCCTTTGATCATCTTAGCTGCTCTTCTCTGATTTTTTTTCCAAACTCTCAATATCTTTTTTTGTGATATGGTGACCAAAATTGGCTGCATACCATATTTAAATATGGTAGCCTTTGTGATTTTTTTCTGGAAGCTGAAAAGCGATTAAAATTGTGTAATCATTTCACATTCAAGGTTAACCACAAAAACGGAAAAGATAGAAGCCTATGAAATTTTATCAATATTTCATTTGAGAAGGGGACAGTATATACAACAATTTCCTCAAAATTATTTATTTAATGAATTTATATAGCTGTGTCACAAAACATGACTCTTGGTAGCATACAATATATAAAAACAATATACAATACATCATAAAATACTAAGTAAAAATAGAAAAACCAAAAAAAGATAAAAGTATATTTCTTTAAAATACAGATATAGTTGGAGGACATTTGCTGGTGCACTAGAAAAAAACTTCAATTCTGATGATAATTCTGATCATCCTGCTTATTAAAACACAATTTCATCTTCCTCTGCTAAAGTTTTATAAAAAATCAGATTAAGCATGGAATATTTCTGATCCTCTATAATGAGGGATCTACTAAAGCATTTTGCCCGTTTAGCTTCTCCAGCACTGAGATGGAGACTCCACCATTGGGTAGTAGACTGTATTCCTGCCCAATCAGATCAAGTCAGCCAAAGTTGCCACGCCCGTCCTGGACCGTGATCTTCAGTCTTTGACTTGATCTTGCCCAGGACAGACGTTGCAAGTTTGGCTCTAGGCAGGTACAGTCAGTGGTGGATCTCCATTCCCTTTCCAA